TAGCAGTTCCCACTGTATTTGCTGGTTCACTCAGCGCTGTTGCAAGTTTATGTGTATTTATTTAATTTCCAGTAAAATATACCCTCCTGACAAAGTATGATTCTTGCTGAAGGCATTTCCAGACACATTTGGAAAATCATTATTAAAGTGCACTGTTCCAGAAACCTTGCCTCACATTGTTCATTTTCACCCTATGAGGAACTGTGAGCCACGTGCCAAGTTCCTCCTTAGTCATATCATTCTGTGCATTTTGTTTTATTTTGTTGGTCATATTACAAGAATATTATACATGCAAATTTAATTCAGGGCACAGAATACTTCTGATATTTTGTACAAATAAAATAAAAACATTTCTCTCTCGGTCTGCATTCACTTCTCCCCTGTGTTACTTGAGAAGAGTTGGGATTTAGGTTCCTGCCTTGGAATTGATTGACAAGAACAGTAACAAAACTGAGATCAGTTCTCTTGTAAAAATATAAAGGACTGTGAATTGAAGTGTTGAGGATATCAGGGCTCTGTGACTCTTTCTGCATGCTCAGCAGTTCCTTCTTTCTTGCAATACAACACATTTTTCTCTTATCCAGCACAATTCATAGAGCTCTAAAAGAAAATAAATACTGTCATTGAGAGCCTTCTGCTAGGCCAAATTGCAGGGTTTAATCTTTGAGTAAGAGCTCATTAGAGAGGAAACGTGCTTCATGGTTTTTCTTAAACAGTTCAAGTCCATTTTTCCAAAGATGTGGGTCTGCTAAGCCACCCCAAGTCCAGGCTGCTGTCTCTCCACTCTCAGCTGAGCCCTGTGCTGGCTCAGGGAGCCCATGGGACTGGATATGGACCCTCAGCCAGCTTCCCCACAAGCACCAACTGCTTCACCCACACTTCACAGGGAGTGCAAGACTTTGGTTATTCGCAGGGCTATTCCTCAAAGCAGAAATATGAATCTTTTTCATCCAGAAGGAAAGAGATTCTATGAAGGCAACAGAAGGACAATGTCCTATTTAAGAAGATGCTCTGGTTGCAGACGGGTGTGGAGCTGGGGAGTTGTGTTTAGGCACCTACCTCTGCCTCTCAGCACAAGGAATGGGGAAGGTGTTCTCATGCTATGCCTGCTGTTTAATTTGTCTTAGTGCCCAGAACTGTTAGATTTTTAAATCAGCTTAATTTTTAACTCCAGTGCTCCTATTTAAAACAAATATGTTCTGGAAAAAAATCCCACCAAACTCAGGGGAACAGGAAGTGTGATTACTTGTGACTGTCAAGTGGAAAAATTCTGGATCAGTTAGTTTTCCTCTTATTCTGACTTTATCTCTACTGCTTATAATCTGGAAGCTTCTTTGATTTTTGTTCATCTAGATGAGCTGTTAAATACTTGTCATCTCATCCTTTCCTTTAGAGACTAGAGCATCATTTCTCTCAGGTGGTTAGGGTCCTTAAGGTCTTAGTGTTGGTTTTGCTTTATAGTCGTTAAAAATAACTCGTTATTTCTTTATAGCATGTCTTCTGTGAAGACATTACACTTTGGTAGCCAACAGACACATTTGACTGGCTACAAATCAGGCTGAGAGTACATTTGATTAGGATCTAAGCACAGCTTTGAAACGGCTAAGTCTGCAGCTTCTCTGCAGCTTCTGAGAAGCACCTGGATCTTCCCAGAAACTGCCGTGGTGCTTTAATCTCAGCTTTTATCTTTAGTTTCTAGGGTACTGCAGATATTACTACTTTAAGTAAACCTTCTGTATTAAGCTAATCAGCTTCTGGGAGTAAACATTTATAAGTATCTCCTTAGCCGCTTGTGTCTAGGGGGGGCACTGTCCATGGGAGACATCTTCCTTTATCAGGATTTAAACTTGAGGTTCTGAGTGCCTGCAAAATAACCCAATATCTGGGCCTTCACAAGAGAAGTGGAATTGATTCCTTTTTTTTTTTTTTTTGGCCACAGTTTAGTCTGCTATTTAATCTGTCAAGGCATATCCAAGTTTAAATCGATTAAAGTGTTCTCATTTCCTGTCCTGAACATGTTGTGTAATAGCCTACTTTAGCTTTTTAAAGTGTTTGCTCTGCTTCATTCCAGCGTTGGTTGGTGAATTAATTACCACGTCAGAGCGGTCAGTAGGAACCTTGAAGTCTGCCAGGTCCTGTGTACTGTTGGGGCATGATTAGACCCTGCCACATATGGTTTCTAGGTCATAGGCAATATTTACAACTTGGTGGAGACAGAGAGATCTTCACCAGCTGTTGCCAAGAGGGGACTGGTATAGTAATTTTCATGTTTAAGTCATCAGACTTATTTTGGAACAAAAAAATGCTAATAGATGTTGTTCATTTCATTGCCTTTAGTAAACTTTTCCAGATTTTCCGTATCAACACGTGCTTTTTGGTTTGTTTTTAGTCCCAGGGTTCAGTTTGTAAATACTCCAAAAGCAAGCAATGAAAAAAATGTCAGCGGCTTAGAGATCTTTCCATGGTTTTTGGTCATTTTGGTGTTGTCATCATCTAAACATAGGCAGGCTGTACTGGAAGAGATCTCCTGGGTCACAGCTCCCTTGTTTTTGCCTTTCACAGGCGTTGTCGTATTACCCTTTTTATAAGCTCGTCCAGCTTTGCCTTAGTGTTTCTTTTTTGTCCTCACATGGAAAACTGTTCCCAAATGTTGCAATTCTGAAAGGCATTTCTGAGCTGCTTTAAATTTTCCTTTCTATTCCTGTCCTCTTCAGAAGGATGGAGAACTGTGCTTTAGGGGTTAAAGTTAAAGGCAAGAACAAAACTGGACTCTTCAGGTTGGACAGAAAATGTTGCCTCTGTTTCCTGGAGACACGTTATTCCTTAAAGCTCTGCACTTTCAGAAACAAACTGCACAAACATGAGTTCATAAATTATGTGCTTGAATTGGCTAATAAATAATGCTTCCTGGCATCAGCAGCAACAGAATGTAATCATCTTCATTATACAAACTGCGAGACTGTGTTTAGTTCGAAATAGCATTTTGCATTAGCCGCTTGTAAATCACAGTTATCTCAATGTTAAGACAAACACGAATTCAAACTGCAGATTTGGATAATTTGCTCCACCTAATAAAAAGCCAGACATTTCAGGAGTAAATTTTAGTGATTTACGATCCCAGCTTGTATTTCCAAAAGGCGTTTCTTTACCAGTTTCCATTTTTTTCCCCATCACTTTGTCTTATTTAGGTAATACATAAATCTATCAGAAAAGAGCATCATCTATAACCTCTGAGGCCCCTTAGTGACAAGCCCCATTGTCAAAGGCAGGCACTTTGCCAGGAAACTGTGACTCCCAGAGAGAGTGTGCAAGGTTAGGGGGAACGTACACTATTGCCAGAGAAACTGTATTCCAAGTGGATTTGTGTGGAACAACAACGATATCCAGTGACTGGTTAAATTAGCCACAGATGTGTTTTCTAGAACACTGTCCAAGAAGATATACAGTACTTTAAGGCTTGGTTCAGACATACTGATCTTCTGAAGTCAAATCAGATCCAAGCAAAATTACATCGGTACTAGGGAAGCTTTGAAGGAATTCTGTAATATGATTCAGACAAGTAGATGAATCAGACTGCTGCGAACTAAACAAGGAGCACATCGGTGAGCGATGAGGTAAGACAACTTGCATAGAAGTGCGATAGTTTCATGTTAGCAGTTTGCTGTTAAAATTCGAGCTGCGGCGGATTGACACGTGCAGTTAAATGGGCACGTTGTACCGGCCACCTGCCCAGAATGTGTGTGCCAAGGAGGATCTCCCTGTGTGCTTTCTTCTAGCTTTTTGGAACGTACGAGTGCTTGGCTTTGCACTTGCTGTCTCCATTGCTGTAAGTCCCTGCACTGCCACTCCTACGCGGCAGTGCTGCCGATGTCAGTTTTTAAGAGGATAATTGCTCTGCTGAGGGCAATGTGCTCAGTAAATACTTGGAGAGTTTTCACATATTGAAATCGTACAGGTGAAGGCTCTGCAGCTTTTCTCACGCAGGAGAATTTTGTCTCGGCATCCCATCTGGAGCGGTATGTGGGATTTCTGTCAGAGGTCGGTGTTAAGAAGCTCGGCTTCCATCCCACAGCTGAGTCTTGTTCTTAAAATTCAGATGAAACAGACAGTGGAGAGAAGTCCTGTTGAATTACAGATCTGCTATAGGGTTTAAAGTTCTGGGGAATCATAAACAGCTTAGTTACTATAGTATCTGGAATAGGAAACAAGAAGATATACTCTAACCTGTTTCTTCACTATGTTATTTACTTGAGCTAAATTAAATATGGTGTATTAAAATGTTGTCATCAAAAAGGACCTGTATGTATTCAGCTTAGATTCTTACTGCAATAAGCATTAATAATAGAATTGGAATTTTAAAAATAGCAGGGGTTTGAGGAGTTGCAGGGGAGTTATAAATGAAGAATTTTCACAATGGAAATAACATTCTTGTGGAGGAAAATCTATCTGTTGCTTTTTTTTAGAGCTTTTAAAAATGTTTTTAATGCTATTGGTATAAATGTGGAAACTGAACTGCTGAGGTTTGCTTTGAATTTCCAGATACAGTTCCAAAGAGAGCTCAAATGCTGTGAGTTTTTTCACAGAAATGTTCATTTCTTTTCCTTGTTACCTCTTCGTAATAATTTCTTTTAATTGAGCAAATTGTGCTCCTGTCTTCTGCTTCCAGTTTCCTCTCACTTGATCGCTGAATTTTGCTTCAGGAGATTTTGCGCTTCTATTCTTAGGGATTTTTGCAGGTCACATGCAAAGCCGTGTGTGTGCATGCATGCGTGTACGTCTTTAGACAGCATACCGATAATTAGAATAACCCTGCAATGTCGTGACTTTGCTTCAGGAGAACTCATGGCAAAAAATGAAACATGCCTCCATTTTCAGGTATATTTTCTGATTTTGACCTCAGAGAGGCAGACATCCTAATGGCTGGCACAATGTGTTTGATTTAAAGCATGATTATTTTCAAAATGCTCATGTCTGTAGCTTTATTTCATTTCTCTTTACAGGGTCTTTGTAAACAGAAGTTTAGCCATGGAAAAGATAAAGTGCTTTGGTTTTGATATGGATTATACACTTGCTGGTGAGTATCTCCTTAACTATTTTTATCATTGAGTTATTTTCAAAATTGCCTGTTGTTAAGCAAAAACTTGTTACTGGTTGGGCTCCTCCAGTTAGCCGGTGCTTCTGTTAGTATCTATATTGTTCACTATTCATTGCACTTTAATTTTAGGTATTTCCCTTAAATTTGTTATCTGCAAGCTGTATTTGATCACAAGCCATGTTGCTGTGCTACGGTTTCAAGTGATTATGAGTGCCAAGGAAACCAAAGCTAATAAGTCTAATTGCTTCCTTAAATTCTACTATATTTTGATACTGTCCCCAGTGCAAGCTTGGCATTGAATAACAAGGTGATTTATTTCATCCTTGGTGCATATGGTTGGCTACAATTTTAGCCCTCAGGTGTCCTGGGAGGGTCATATTTGAGTAGGTTTTCCTCTTTCTCACTCCTCAGTTGGGCACATCAGTGACTCATTTTCAGAAGAGGCAAAGCAGGGGGAGTGTCTTGTGTCAGCTGAACAAGCTATGTCAGAAAGCTTTGCCCATTCTTTATGGCAGATAGGCTTTGGGAGGTTGCATAAGACCTTTTAGTTTCATAAAATTTTTTGCATGACTTCTCCATCTTTCAAATACTTGACAGGGAAGTTCTCTGAGGTTTTTGAGGGAGAGGGGGGTAAAGTTACTCTTTTCTGCATAGTCAGACTTACATGATGTTATGTATTTTAAGGAAGGAAGAGATAAAAAGCCATCTTACACTTTCCTAAGCTGTAGGATCACACAGGCTGTAACTGAAGGTGTCGTGTACGATCCTGCCTTCTTTCTCATTACCGCTTACAAGGTTATGGGTAAAAAGTTCATAGCACCCTTGATAATTCCAGTTTAGAACTGTTGAGCATATAAACTGAAAAATGGGAGGTAGAGTGTCAGGGACACCTAATAACGGGTTAATGCAGTATGTCAACTATGGTCATTTAGTTGCTGTTTCTACTGAGAAGGAACGAGAGATGAGTGATGTGGCTAGGAACAGTGTGAGAGTCACAGGACTCAGGATTGGTGGCTATGCAAAAGGCAAGAAGGTTTCCGTATGCTCGTGGTTCAACACAATGCTGCAAGGAGGCTGTGGCAGGTAACTGCAGTTTAGATCACTTGCTTTTGTTCTTTTAATCAGTTATCTATGAGGCAGTAGTTATATATAAAAGCTTTGTTTTTTCAGTGCCTTATTTATACATGTTTCAAGTTCCTGCCACTTTTTAAGTCCTGAAGTTGTTCATCTGTGCAGGACCTGACTGCAGGTACATGCTGTCCGTGTTTGTTTCACCTAGTGACAGTGCATTTAGGGAGTGCAAAGAAGTGTTCAAGAACAAATGCTTGAAAAAAAAAAAAGTTGTGGGTTTCACATCCATAAAGGAAAAACAACTTCTGTGCCTTTTGAAACTGGCAGCATTTCCCAATGACTCAGGTGATCCTAGTGGAGCTGGCATGGAGCATGAAGTGTGTTGCTAACTTTCATCCTGACAGAAGAGCTTCAGCACTATCCTCACTTCTCTGTTCATTTTACTCAAGAGTTGCTCATTCCTGTAAACAGAGAGCAAATGTGTGGTTATCCACAAAACAATGCTTGTTTTGTTGAGAGGAAAAATGTAAATGTTGCAAGCCATAGTACCCAGGGACATGGGAACCCAGGGCTTCCAAGTCTGGAAGATCACAGTGTGGCAGTGAAGCAGGCAAAATCAATGCATTCAGGGGAGCTGAGTGTCAGGGTATGATGAAAAAAGAAATGGGTTGTGATCCAGGCAAAATACTGGAAATCCGGGCCACTCTGGGGTAAGCTGCTGTCCTGTGACTTTTTCCGTGGTACAACACAGATAATAGTTGCAGATCATTTTACGAGGAGGTGTAAGAGTGTGATTAGGTTTGAAAGCCTTTTGCGCATGAAAATCATTATGCCTGGTAAGTGCTATTCCTTTTTTTTTTTTTTTTTTAATACTTGACTGGGAAATTAACATAGAGAATTCCCTGTTTGTTGCCTTACGTCTCAGAGTCATCCTTTCTTTTCCATGTGGGCATTTGTTATCTGGCCATTACTTGCCATATATAACTGTTGCATACAAAAAAAAATACCTATTAATTGCAGAAGCTTTAAGGAGTGGAGTGTTAGAACGTGATTATGGTAATGCTAAGTAATTGGAAATGACAACAAAGAGTGGGGCAAATGAAGTATTACGTCAGTGTGTTCTTGTGCTTTCATTAGACCCTGTCATGTTTACTGTCTGGGCATGTTGTCCCTTACACACTCTTTTACATGGAGATGATACTGTCTAGATTAAAAAAAAAAAAAAGAAAAAACAATGTAAAAAGCTAGTTTATCTGTAATTTAACATCTGGAAATGGTATCTGCATACCAGATGGTGCATGCTGAGCAGAAGCCTTTTGGAGACTGTTCAAGACATGTAAATAGACCAAAGAAGAGGAGCAGAAGCATCTCCACTGTCATCAGCTCCTCATCTAGTTTTCTGCACTTGTACTTTTATATATTGCTAAGTCACTTTTCTGTAAAGTTGTTTAGAAATATCCCAAGCACAGTCTTCATATCCAGTGATTGAAGGCAGTCAGAGCCATTGACCCTGCCAAAAAATTATATGACTCCTCTTTTCCCCGCTCTCTATCGTGAACTTTAATATAGAAATAAACTGATGAAATGAACTGTCAGAAATGAACTGACATTCATCCTGTAGCTGACAGTCATGCACACTTCAGCATCTCAGAAAAAGAATGATTATTTTGAATTACCTGTCTTGTGAAGAGGAGGCTGTGGTGTCAGTAAAACACATTGTCACTCTCTCTTTCTTGTTCCCAAGTCAGTGGCCACTGGTAGCACCAAAAATCTTGCTTAGAAGGTTGTTCAGTACCAGAAAAGTCAGAATCACTTAACTTATTTTGAGCTTTAGAAGCCTGAGACAGTTTTTTTCTTGTACTTTTGAGTTTAAGGACACTAATCTACTTACAATGATAACACTGGTTTCTGTCTAGAATAATCTAATTTTGTTAGGGGTGTAGCTTTTCCACTTTGAAGTATATTGTAACAGCTACTACATGCATGCTGCAGTGATCGTGTGTTCTACTGCTAGCATGACTGAGAATGTCAGCTTGCCAACTGACAGCATGTTACATTGCACATAAAATACGATTTCATGCATTGTTTTATAGGGCGGCAGGTCTTAGCCTTATTAAAGGACCACTTAACTCAGAATTGAAAAAATTCAAGGCTCTCTGATACAGCATTGCCACAGTGATTTTGCTTGCTTTCAAATCAAAATCAGGTTGAACATTAAATTTTTGTTAATAACCTCCGTATTCTCTCATTGTGTTTATCTCTTTCCTTGCATAGGGTTGAGAAATACTGTTAATGGGTGGGATGGGCAAACAAAGAAAAGAACCTGGAGTTTTTAGCCTTTTCTTCTGAGAAATTAGGGACATTAAATTGCTGAATTTGTAGCCACAGTGATTACAGCTAGAATTAATTTGGCTGCTGGGAGCTCAAAATAAAATGAAAGGAAATTGAAATAACTCTCACAGGTTTTAGATGCCTTGTTTTCCCATCAAGCATTGGTGTTGCATCCTCATGGGGTGAGTAAGATCTAAATGTATGAAAGTCTCTCTGGGCTTATATGCTGGATACACTAATACTAGAAGCTCAAAAATCAGTGTTGTGTAGGAAGCTGATCGTGCCCTTCCTGTTAAATCTATTGATTTGCTTGTGTTAGTGAATCACACATTTAGTACATAAAAAAAGAATGTTTCTTCTAAAAGTTAGGTGTTATTGGGAGGAGAGTCAAAGGAGCAGAAGGAATAGCGGGGTTTGACTGCGGTTTGTGTACATAGTTAAGTAGCTCTGCTTAAAATCTTGGAGAGCTTGACGCAAGCAAGTCTTCAGCTATTTCAGCCCTTGCTGTTAGTGAGGGTTAAGACACGTTTCTGTGATGTTATGCAGCCGTTACCCCAGCAGCCCTTTTTTTCTCTGCTGCTGTCCTTGCTGCCTGCCAGCCTCGGAGCAAGGTCCGTGCTGATTCCTCAGGAATCCCTTGCTCTTTGTAAAGAGAAGGTGTTACCGGGTCTGGAAACGCTGCTGATGGGCCGTGTTTGCTGTCAGGGCAGAACTGAAATTTTTTTAATTCTTGTTTAAATCCTTAACTCAGAGAGATTTGAGTCTCTCTTTGTAGTGCATTTTTGTTTGCTAAACAGTAGTTGATTTTATTAACCAAATGATTCAGCTCTGCTTATTCATCCCAACTGGCTAAACAACCAGTAGTCAGTAACAATTCTGGGCTGCCTTCCTGTTTTACTTGTGTCAAAACTGCCCGTGCTTTCGTAAAAGAACATGTTGCATGTAATCCAGAAGATTCACAGCTTAATCTGTTTGTGTTTACTGCAACCCTCAGGAAGAAGGATAAAGGTATGTCAGTAGAGAGTCTTCACTGCAACACTCACCTGAGACTAAGAGTTGGTGAGGCCCATGGGAAATGCAGCAAAGAAAGTTTGGTTTCAGAGAGCATTTTATTTGGCTGCTTCCTTTTCTGTGTGAGCTACACTTGGAATTAGTAGGTCTGCGTCCAAGTAATGCAGGAGGCCTTGGCATTATGAGCTCTTAAATGGGACAGGTGGCACAATGAGGTGATGGATAGATGTCCCTAGACAGGAGCAGGGCTAAAGCAGTGGGGTTCTCAAACTGGCTGTAGTTTCTCACCAGGCCATTGGCAGGCGACAAGGGAATTAATAAGAATTACAATCTCAGTTGTGCTTGAAAAGATTGATCTGTGACTACCTTCCTTCTCCAGATTTTTTCGTGTCTGTCTCTAAGGCAGGTAAAATGTAATATCAGTAGGCAGGATGCTTTTATTTGGAATGCATTTCCTGCACTTAAATCACTGCTGCTTCCACATTCTCCAGATCAATAATAAAATTTTCACTGTCTGCTGAAAACTGTTTCAATAAAAAAGAAGGGGAAATGAGGCTTGAAAAATA